ATAATTTTAAATTCTAAATACTATTTTTTAACTTAACTTCAAATACTACTTTTTTTTCAAAAAATATAATTTTTATGTCCAAACGCCTACTAATTTTCTTCCTTTTTCTAGAAAAGTGTAATTGGAAACACCACCTCACAAAACTTGGGACCAGCCAAAGAGGGAAAAGAGGATGTAATTGATAGAATCAGATAGCCGTTCGAGGGACCAGCCAAACTTGACACATCCAATTTCATTGCAATCAATAACTTGGAGGTATGATTAAACTGATTAAAATACCGATTTGCTAAATCGATATACAAGAAGATTATATCATGAATCGAAACTCATTTCCTCTAGTACGAAAATAAAACCGTAGGCAAAGTTAAGTAAGATAGGTACCTCTTGGTGTAGTCTAGCCACCTCTGAGAACAAAATAGCACCTCTTAGAGACTAAGAATTAACCATATTAATTTAACAAAAGAATGTATGTCATACATTTATTAGTTTTGATGTGAACATTTAATATGAGTAGAACTTCCATAAATCAGGCAGCTTTAACAAAGAGTTAAGGATGTTTTGATATCAATTCCCTCCAACACCTGGCCTCCATTCCCAAAAAGAAAAGTTTCGTCTAGTACATGCGTTAAATGAGTAAATTGAAAATACTCACCGTTAGAAATTCGGCAAAAACCGACCAAGGTCGACCGATCAACTTTGATCGGTCAAAAAACCGACCAAAGTTGGTCGGTTTTTCAAAATATTTTATTTTTTAATTTTTTTTACGAAACTGACTAACTTTGGCCAGTTTTCTTTGGCGCAAAAATGCAGGAAACTATTTTTGAGTCCCGCAAAATTTATTTTTCAAGATACCGACCAACTTTGATCGGTTTTCAATTAAAATAAATAAAAATTAATATTAAAAAAACCGACCAAAATTGATCGGTTAATTCGGCCAGTCATTTTAAAAAATCAACCAACTTTGGTCGGTTATTTTCGTACGAAAATACAATTAAAGAGCATAAATCAAATAAAAGATAGTCTTAAAACAAAATGCACTAATGGTCTAGTAGTAGAATAGTATCCTGCCACAGTACAGACCTCAGTTCGATTCTCAGATGGTGAATCTTTTGATTACATAATTAAAAAACCGACCAACTTTGGTCGGTATTTTTTGCAATATTATTTTTTAATTTAATTGACCGACCAACGTTGGTCGGTAATTTCCGACTAACTTTGGTCGGTATGCCTTTCTGACCGTCAAAATACCGTCCACACATAAATAGTCATATTTTGGTCGGTAATTGGCCATAACCGACCAACTTTGATCGGTTTTCTTGGTCGGTGTTTAGCGGATTTCTAGTAGTGACTCTCTTTGCCTCACACGACGTAGGGGTAAGGTCTGCGTACACTCCACCCTCCCAAGTCGTAAAGAGAGTTGTAGGATTCATAAAACAAGAGCCTTTACTTTCAAATGACAACTGTTTCTTCCTGCTGCGAGGGCCTTGAAACCAAATCGCCCCCGCCCGATCAACTACATGTTGCTTCGAGGGAGAGTCGAGGCATGAAAAAACTTATCTAAGATCTGCTTATTTCCAAGTACGTATCATCCGTTGCCTTATCCGCCGCCAAAAGAATCTGACACCTGCCCGGTGGTGGAAGGTCGGAAGTGTGATACCAAGAGAGCCATCACAACCACTACTCTACTCATTGGCCTAGAAGAGTGCGCTCCTCTATCTCTCGTTCACCATCTAGCACCAGCTCGCCCGAGAAAACCCCTGTATAGGTTCTTCGATTTCTCGATAAAGAACAATATGACTAACAGTGGTTCGAATATATATAAAAAAGATTTATTTTTTTCGACAACCAGGCCACCACTTTTACCAGATATGGGTCCAGGCGACCCAAGAGCCCGCCACAAGAACCAATGGTGAAACTAGTAATTTTTTCAAGGGTATTCAAATTTGAAAGAAGTGAAAAAAAAAATCCTGACAAAGAGTATTCAATATATGTTATATACCTCTAAAACGTAATATTTTACCTATATACACAGTACAATTTTTCGACGAAAGGTGGTCAACTGACTACCCTTATGACCATGTGGCTTCGCCACTGACTTGAACCCAACTCTTAAGAGGCTAAGGTCCAAGGAACTACCGCAGGAAGTCAGCTTCACTTGTAACTTCAACAAATTTAGAAATGAGCATAACGGCCGCACGCTCCACTGAACAACAGTTCTCCGCTCTAAGTCCCTCCCTCTGATGCCCTGATTCTCGGTCTCAATCAAGTAAGAAAGGAAACCCTTTTAGCTACACTTGTGGGATCACACTGTATATGTTGTTGTTGTTGTAATGAAAGCTATGAACATTTCACTTTGTTGTAGGACACAACCAACTATAAAGCTACACAACGGAAATGACCGAATATATTTCACATAGGAACAAGAAAAGCAATAAAGAAAACATAAATTTATAAGAGCAACTTTCTCTATTTGTACTAGAAAAATTTATTGAAGTAACAACTCTACTCTTTAAACCAACGTTAATATACCAGTCTCCAAAAATAGCAGCCAACTCAAAAAACATGTCCTGCATAATATCCTTCAAACAGAAGGTATTCTGCAGCTATATGGATACCTAGCTTTCTTACTATAACATGCTTCATAGTAACTTAGTACAGCTCGAACTCTCTATAACGTACCCGATATAACATCATCATCATATTATATTAAAAGTGGGAAGTTGCTATCTTCAAAGTTAGATTACAGTTTTGCCCCTATTATAAATTAAAATGTATTAAAACATAAAACATCTAATATAATAAATATTAAATAGTAAAACATTTAACAAAAACCTTCATAAAAACCTTTTATTAAATATTAATTTCAGGCGCATTTTGCCCTTCACAAAAACATTTTATTAAATATTAATTTCAGGTGCATTGAATTGATTAATTAAGAGGATGTTTCAACTGGCAGAGATTATTAAAAGATGCAGCAATTGTAAAAAATTTCTTAATTACATTATTTACACCATAGCCTTTTCACATTTCAACCTCATTTGTTTTATCCTTTGAGCTTCCANATATATATATATATATATAAAGGTGCACAACAAAAGTGATAAATCACTAATTCTATTCTACCGGTAAAGGTTTACTGCTATTGATTTTGCTCAATACTATTTGGACAAGTATTTTTTTCCTGTCTAAGAGCTTATATTTATAGAGTAACATGTACTATGATATCAATTTCTATCAAACTATTGGTGATATAATTTATAATTTTTTATTTAAATTGTTAAATGATTTCTTATCCAGAGTGTACAACAAATAATAGTATTATGAGTTGTTTGAATTTTTTTATGCAGATTATATTTTTTCATTTGCGATTTGATGTTGATATATTAAGAACTATTTAAAAAAAAACAGTTCAAGCATGATTATGCTTCACCAGAAAAGCAACTCGGAATTAAAAATTTTCAATACCTACTTCTCATTTGAAAATCTGAAAAATAATATCTTGACATATCATGCTCCTAACCTGGTTAGGCGGATCGGACTTAGTGCCTTAACTTGACTGAGTGAACTAACATGCAACATCCTATATGACTATCACATAATCCTTAGATATGTGATACTAGTATAAGTTTATATATATGGTTGGTTCACTCAGTCAGGTTAAAATACCGGGTGTCGGTCCGGCTCATTCAGGCATGGAACGTGACATGACACTTACGTTATGCTTATTAAACATTAAACAATTCGTAATTTTAACTCTCTTCTAATAGTTATGAAAAGTTGAACTGATAAACTTAATTTCAGTCAATAAGAGCAATTTTTTATCATTATATTAAAGGTGATATATTAATTTTTGTTTCCACAAGCCTATTATATCATTCCTCCTACGCATAGAGACGTATTCAAAATTTAAAGTTCGTGGGTTCTCACCCATCTCAAACAATAAAATGAAAAGAATAAAAGGTGTTCATGGTGGCTGATGGGACTTAACCCTCGACCAAGAGGACAACAAAGCCTGACAGGTCCTATTTCTACCATTGTACCAACAACAAGCTTTGTTATTAGATTCCTAACTCATAATTTTATATATTTACTCAATTTCTTAATACAAATATAGAATTCGTACAAAAATTAAGGAGTTCAAATTTGCCCTTGCTACGCACACATGTGAAAACAAGAAAATTACACAAAGAAGCTAAGCTGGAGAAGAGATTGTTTCTGCGATTTAGTTGAATTTCATTTAATTTATTAAGGAATTATTTCAGGTTAGTGCTTTTCTTCAATTTCAAAAGTTTGTTTTGTTTTGATATTTTTTCAAGTTTGTATTACTGAGAAAATTATTGAATCATATTATATGATGCTCAAATACATATTTATCGATTAACAGGGAAGAACTCTTAAAGTTGCACATGCCATATTGTGGAAGATTTTCTTTTAGAAGAAAATTCAGCAATCAATTGCATATATTAACATTTTAAAAGTCTAAGTAGTAAAAATTGATTAATAAAAAAAGAGGTAATGAAGAAAAGTCATTTTTCTAGGTTTAGAATCAATCTGAATATATGTTATATTAGAAGAATTGTTACTCATTAGTTATATGTTTTAATATTATTTATACTATTTTAAAATATATGTATAAATCGATATGGGACACACGTGCAACGCACGTGTCCAGAAACTAGTTTTACTATAAAAGGCAAGTTATTTTAGAATCCGACATTTTTGGATAATTTTTGTCTATAACACCTAAAGAAGATGCAGAACAAACAAAGCTGTTATAAAGGATTTTGACGGTAGTATCCATAACAAGACAGCCATAAATCACAATTCTCTCTGTTCTATACTCACAAATTAACAAGACAGATTGGCTCATAAAACAAAAAAAACCATAAACAAGTTTTAAAAAAAAACTTCAACTACAGAAAGAAGATAAACCAGAAACTTATTCCACAATGAAAGAAAAGTTAAAAAAACAACGTTTAACAACAGAAAGAAAAGTGGCACTAAATTGCACCACAGGGAGGAGGGGGAAGAGGAATCGTGTTAGTTTCCAGCCCTCGACGAGCACCCAAAATGTTCAGCTCGAGAGTTGCCTTGTACTGAGAAGGTATTTCCATCAATGCTGCCAAGGCAAACTCTGCTTCTTTCCTGGACCTGTCTGCATTTTTTGACATGATATCCGTAAAATTAACAAACTGGAAATTGTCAAAGGCTCGAGCAGGTATATTGTCATCGAATTCCCTCATCATGTCCCACGGCCCATCTCCAACCCCAACTACAACAATAGACAAGGCATATTTACTTGCTTTCACAATTGCTTCAATTGTTCTCTTCTCTTGAGGGTTTAATCTGTCACGCGCATCTCTTGTAACGTTTCCATTCCCAACCTGTCCATCCACGATTATCAATAAAACATGGTACTGGCCACCACTTCGCTCCACAATACTGATTGCCATTTCAATAATAGGAGCGAACGATGTAGGTCCTGAAAGGCGTAATTGAGGAACTAATTGTCTATATCGACTCAGTACTTGCTCGAACCCATTACAGAATTTTCCATCAGGATAGAAACTGAAGACGTGTTGGTCACTCGTCGAGACATCACCAAATCCATAACAAGGAATCAGGTTATCCTCATCAAATTCTGATAGTGCTCTTCCAATTATAGATATTGCTTGTTCATATGGATTTTGCTGATTATCCCCGATGTAATGCAAACTTTTCCCTTGAAATGACCTTGCACCACTCCACTCATTGCTCTTGGTAAAATCGATCCCAACAATTAAGTTCGAAGACTCGAGAAGGTCGAAGGCACAACTTTCATTTTGTGGATCCACGGCTTTCTGGAAAGGGCGTTGTATCTCATATCACCTTCTATTACGTGGAACTTCATTTCCTGGATAATCCCGGCCACGTTTATCGGCATAATTATTTCGCCTTTGGTAATTTCACATGCCATATTGAATCCGTTTAGAACCAGGGTTGCAGGTACGATCTGGTCCTGTAGACCGAGTTGTTCTACCACCTTCGATCTAATAATGTTGGCCGAGCTACCTGGATCAATTAACACACGCTTAACTTTAGTTTTATTCATGAGCACAAATATTACCAGTGCATCGTTGTGAGGTTGCATGATCCCTTCTGCATCTTCATCATTAAAGGACAAGGTTCCTATGGGTGCGTAATCCCAAGTTCGAGATCGTTTTTCTCTCATAATCGATGTCTTAGTGTGTTTACGAACTGGTCCCTGAGGAGTATCGATGCCACCAATGATCATGTGGATGACGTACTGTGGTTCTTCTTGTTTGTGTTGTTTACCGAAATCCCTATTTTTGAAATGGTTTTTGGCTCTGTTGCTTAGAAATTCTCAAAGGTGCTCTTTATTGAATAACCGAGCTACCTCCTCTCTTAGTTGCCTGCAATCTTCCGTTCTGTGCCCATGGGTACCATGATATTCGCACATTTGATTTGGGTTCCTCTGGGCAGGATTGGTCTGCATGGGTCAAGACCATTTAGTGTCCTTGATGCGTCTGATAGATGATACAATGGCGGATGCGTCGATGCTGAAGTTATACTCCGATAGCCGTGGCGCTTCCTTAGGTCCGGTATGCCTATCGAACCCATTTTCGCTCATCAGTCCCCGAGACCCTTGGCTTCAAGCATTCCTCGATGATCTCGGTTGTATGGACGGTATCGATCCTTGCTTGACATTGATTCTCGATCAACATCCCCTTTAAAACCGGACCCAAAACTCAACTAGTCGTCTTCAACCCTTTATTTTAGATTGGGACCGATTGTGCACATCGGCCTAAGTAATAGCTGGATATTCGATCAGGTTATGTTTCAGCCGCTGTGAAGCCATCGAACTTAGTTCGTTCAAACCTTGAGTGAAAGCCTGAACGGCCTAATCATCTGTGGCCGGTGGCAGTTCCATTCGTTCTATTTGAAAATGAGATACGAACTCCCTCAGCATCTCGTTGTTCTTTTGTCTTACCTTGAAAAAGTCCGATTTCCTTGTTGCGACTTTTATGGCGCCAGCGTGCGCTTTCACAAAAGAATTTGCTAACATGGCGAATGAGTCGATGGAATTTGGTGGTAGGTTGTGATACCAAATCATTGCTTCTTTTGAGAGCGTCTCTCCTAATTCTTTTAACAGCACAGATTCGATTTCATCGTCTTCTAAATCATTGCCCTTGATGGCACACGTGTAAGAGGTGATGTGTTCGTTGGGGTCGATCGTTCCATTATATTTGGAAATTTCGGGCATATAGAATTTTTTGGGGATTGGTTTTGGGGCTGCGCTCGAGGGAAATGGATTTTGCACGAATATTTTGGAATCTAACCCTTTTATCATTGGTGGAGCTCCCGGGATTTGATCGACCCTAGAGTTATATGTTTCTACTTTTCTATCGTTGGCTTCGACTCGCTTTGTGAGCTCCTCAAGTATTTTAGTAATTTCGGAAGTAGTCCCCGATTCTTGCTCATTTGACTTTACTACGCGCTGTTTCTGTTCTGTGGGCAATTTCTCAAGATGGACTGGGCTCCGGCCTGCTCGGTAGTTGGGTTTGGCTATGCAACTGAGCTATTGCTACCTATTGGGCTTGCAACATTTCGAAAATCATACGCAAGCTGATGCTGTTTTTCTCGACTTTATGGGTATCTCGAGCTACAGACCGAGTGCCACCATGAATGTTATTTTCAGGTTCAGAATGCAAGTTTGCCTCAATGGCCACATGCAAATTGATATCTATCAACACTTCGATTCGAGCTCCAACAGCATTGACCAGTGGTCTTTCGGTACTGGGTGTCAAGTTGTTGTTCTCATCTTGAAGACCAGCTTTGTTGTCGATAGGTGAGGCCATTTGATTGGTGGTTAGTCATTGCTAATCCAAAATCAGGAAAAAAATACAGCGGTGTATTTTTGCAGATTCGTATCAAATAGTCACTGTTATCATTAGCCCCACGGTGGGCGCTAAACTGTTTACCTGAAAAACGGATATAGTTAAATTTGTACGTAGTTTTAAGGATACGTGATATAGCTTGATACAAATCGTAAGGACGAAGAGAAATATCAAATATGGATTACAGAGAATACAAAATAAACAAGATTGGAAAGAAGGTGATGGTTTAAACTAAGCAAAATGAATCAGTTAACAAAGCCTCCAAGAATAGTTCTTGAATATAGAAGAATATGGTGCTTGAATGAATCTGTTCAAAAATATAGCCATCCTCCTTATAGTGGAGGATCCTACTTTAAATATAATTAAAAATTCATAGTGGAGACTCCATGATAAATCAATTTTTCCCGTATTCCCGCCGAGATTTTCTCCCTTAGTGTGCTTGCAACGGCTCTTGTCTGTGGGCTCGAGCTCTATCGACCTCGGCGCTGGTCGATAGCGCTTCTAGAGCTCGATACGGATTCAGGATTAGGTGATGATTCGGACTCAGCCCCGGTTGTCCGCCGTCCTTTGAGCTCGAAGTCGTCTCATCGTAGTTCAATCCAGATCCGAACTCGGTGATGACTTCGAGCTCGGTGTTTGACCTAAACGTGGTATCCGAAACTTGTTTGTATCATCTTCGGGACCATCTCGATATTACGAAGTCATTCTTCGATCCATCATATTAAATTCTGATAAATCGTACGAAGATCGAAACCTATTTCGACCGTATACGAGAGGAAAACCAATTCTATTTGGAAACGGAAAAGTTAATTCCTAATTTGTTATAGAAAATTTATGCGATTACCTACTTGGAAAGGGAAAAGAAGTGGTATTATAAATACCCTTATAGTAAACCCTTTTGTCCATAATTCTTCAGAAGCAAGATTTCGTACTCATTTCACATATAAACACAAGAAAGCTTCCAACAGGTATTTATTCCCACTTTTACATTAGCCTAAATAAATTGTACACTTAAATAGATCTTTGTTAAAAGATATTGGTTTTTATTTCTGTTTCTGTTGCATGTTTAGAACATTATTATGCAATCTTCCATTATTGGAATTGAACATATTCTCACAGTACTGGTTGACGGCTTGACGCTTTTGGTTAGGAAATCATAACATAAATTAGCGATATTATATTACTCAGAAACAAAAAAATCCTGTGGCGGCGTGCCACTCGATCCAATTGACATATCCGTAGCGGCGTGCCACCCGATCCACCCATAATAATCTAAGGAACACACACATCGAGCCGTAACGCTTATACTCACAAAATGTCCGAATATCAACCATAAGCGCGCCAAGTGTATAATACAAATCCTGGGGAGACGGGTAGCATCATACGCTATAAAACTCAAGCACGACTAAGGTGCGGTATATGATCTGCATCTCGAGAGCCATCCTGCTCACATAATACCACAAATCATACTGGATCTCAATACGAGTGCGAATAATCAAACCACCTCCCAACCCACTTGGTATAATATAGATTACACGGGATAGCTGACGACATGAATAACATCCAAGGCCCGAAAACCCTTCCGAAGACAACGCTATGCTGAGATGAGCACATCCGGCATGATATATAGCCCACATTCACATATAGATCCATCCACGGACCTCAATCGATTCTGATCATACCATGCTTGGCTAAATAGCCTTTCAAGGATCCACAATGACCTATTCATGACACATAAGAACAACCGTCAAATCCGGAACAAACTTCCACATTCCACAACCAAATGAACCGAGCGCCCTTTAGGCATAAATTCTCACATTAGCGATAGTACTACAATCTCCATACTTGGTTTTAAATCTTTAATCAATCAAGTGACTACATGTCATACTTATACAATCTTCCGTGGGATACACTCCCACATCCCTCCGCACCAGGTAACAAGTCTGCACATCCGTACCACCGGTCACACTAATGCTGTAAAGCAAATCAAGAAGCCAAAATCAGTAAACAAAGCCTCTTACACTGGACACCGATCTCAGCTGATGCTAAAGACAATACCAGCTTACTCGAAACATCCAAATTCTTCCCTGATCATACGAGCTCGTGACATTCTTGTCAACACCAAACCACAACCTTGATCCTCAGCTTCCAATTTCCCATGCCGCTCGCTGCACCTAACATGCCAATACGTGAGAGTACCATAATTCCATAATAACCCCTGATCCACTAAGAGGATAAACACTTCATCATATAGAAACCTTTTACTCAACTCATTTCAGGAGGACCATCGCCACATGTGACTGAATTCCCAAACCGCAAAAAACACAACCTCATGTCGTAATCTAAGTTGCCATAACTCTTCCGAAAATCCCTTTACATAACAAAGCCATACGAATCGAATACCTCCCAAATCAATCAAGCTGTGGTGGCGCTCAAGCCCAAGTGCACAGCCATAAACTACATGTATAACTTCACGCTGGAGAAACTGGCCACTGCCATAACCGTGTTGATTCAACCATTACCAACCGAACCACTTCTTCTAATCTACTCGGGGCTTGCCCTAGAAATAATGATAGCTCCATTCAAAACATCATGAACCCAAATCCGCACTCATCCTGAGTGACCTTATTTCACGAAACCACGTTGTCTCCAAAACCCACGAACCATTTCATACTTTCCTTGTGCGTATATTCGCATCTTCAACGGGTACACTCATTCTGATAATTTCCCTATGATTCTGAAGTTATTTTCTCCCATTCTTCCACTGCTACATCGCATACCGAAGATAACATAGAACACTCCAAGCCCCTTTTATAATCCGCTGCAATAGCTCAATACTTAACCATACTATGGACTCGAAATCCTTAGGCACCACACTTTAACTTTTGAATCCACTAGGACCGTTGTTGAGAGTCACCCACTCTGACTTGGTCCCGAATATAATCAAACCCCAAGGCTCTGCTAGCACATGAACACCCTCTCAAAGAAGCACCTGCTGAATCACTTTCCTTGTAAATCACATCTACGCAAAGCATAAACTCCGAGTTTTCCCAAAGCCTGAACATGAATCGATAAGACCAATTATAGCACACATTCCTTAAATCCTTGGCTCAAATCACCACTGATATCCTCTTTCTTTAGTCGTAATAACCCACCAACATGCCGATAACCAGAAACCTCACAATTAGATAACCATGCAATCTAAGACGATGGGGCTCTCCCACTTAGCTTGAAGCTACCATTGCATAACTCTAGAACCTACCAAGATTCGTTCTTCCTTACTGACATGACCTTGCGCAATTGACCCGCCAAATTCCTCGAAATCTTCCTGTTAACCATTTCATGAATGCCTTGAATCACTAGCCACATTTATATATTCGACCTCTTATCTGATAGCCAATAAAATTCTTCGTAGAAGTTTCATCAACACCACGCAATAGTTAACCTGCTCACCAGAAATAACCCACTTGTGGAAATTCCATGCCGACATCTTCCAACAACGCTGCACCGAGTACAATTACTATGAAATCCTTAAACTATCCTGAGCCCGTGCTCATTCACCAGTACAAGCCCGTTCACTCCCCATTGACATCAACTAAACGTGCGACGATACATTCCAATCCAAAGTCATGTTGTATCCTTCTTCATATCATGCAACTATTTTCCGTCGTATCCAGCCCTTCTCCATATGNCCCCCACATGTCCTTCCTCATCCTTCGCTGCCCAGTTGTTTCCTTAACTCAATATCTATATCTGCAACACTTGAACCAATAAATCGCTACCAACTTTAAACCTTTCCGAAGATCATCTTCCTTGAGCTCTCAACACCCGGACCACCGATTAAGTCTTGAACCACCGCACACTGCGATCTCTGACAGTCGCTCCCCAGATACTGTTTCACACCACCCTGCTCGAAGGCAAATTGATGAAGACCATAACACCAGCGAACTTAACACATTCAATCCAGGGCAACTATACCACATCACAGATGAAAATTCTACCATGCTCGAAATACCAAGTCTCGTCACTACGTCAATCCAAACCTGAACATTCATAGTTCGATTGCCTTTCCTTCACCAGAAATAAAATACTGGATCTCTGAATCATGCACTAAGTAAACCTCCTTTCCAAGTCATTCACTGCTTCGACGCATAGACAAGCATCCTACCATTACACCAACACGGTGCGATAGCAATGCACGAATCGTCATAACAATTAATACCAAATCTTGAAACCTTAGGTAATGCTGACACTGAGTTGCAAAGGCAGAATGACCTTCCGCGAGGCAACGAAAATAGCCTAATCAAATACGCAGGGAGAAACATCCTACACCACATCTGTAGTACCATTAAAATTCCTCGATTCTCAATTTATAACAAGCCCTTCATGTCGCATAAGACTGAATAGGAAGGGAATGAAGGCATAAGTCTCAAAGGAATCGAATCGCACGATGAGGAATCAAGAAGGGAAGTTCTCCTAATAGTCATGTAGCCTCTCGAAGATAAGTACAGACGTCTCTGTACCGATCCGCAAGACTCTACTAGACTCGCTCATGACTCGTGAGACCTAAGTGAACCTAGTGCTCTGATACCATGTTTTCACGACCCAAAATCTATTAAAGGTCGTGATGGCGCCAGACACCGCGGTCAGGCAAGCCAAAAATAAATACTTAATTTGGTTCTCATTTTTAATATTTCTCAAATCATATTTCCTTCAATTAAATCGTAAAAGATAAAGTTTACAAAATAAATAATAATATCTTAAAAAATTAAAATACAGTGCAACCCATAATCGCCCAAAACCTGGTGTCACAAGTGCATGAGTATCAACTAGGAATATAAAATAATGTACAACCATTGTCTAGAATATAAATTGGACAGGAAAATATAAATACTCTGAAGGAGACTCTGCTGGTTGCGGACTCATAACGTGGAATGCAGCTCACCTAACTCCCCGCAATA